GGTCGTTCGTACTTTCAGATACTAAGAGCTTGCATTTGCAAAAATTCCGTGGTAAATTGGTCAGAAAATTGCCGAGATTGAAGGAGAATAAACGGTCTGGCGCCATGGACGAAAGTATTTTGTTACCTCTCAGCGGGTCATTTGCAAGCGAACATGCTTATTTTCCGCTTGGCGAACATTCGATTTTGACCCTTAAAATTTAGTCCATGTAACCCCTGTCAATTTTTCTTGATTCTCGTACAGAGAAAAAATTCCGAGATTTCAGTCGGTTCCTATGTAGATGAAAGTGCCGCATCGGTTGCGCACAATCCCGCGGCTCTGCGGGGCTTCCTGAGCCGAGAAACAGCGAAAAACTGGTCTGAAACGAGTGTTCCTTGCACGTTTATCACCGTTTTTGCCAAGCGTTTTTCGCGGATAGCGCCAAGCAGCGGACTCGAGGAGCTTTTCCGACCGGTAAATCGTACTCAGCGGGTCATTTTCAAGCGAACATGCTTGGTTTCAGCTCGTTTGGCGAACTTTCGATTTTGACCCTTAAACGCTATCGATTTTTAGGGAAAAATTATAAAAAAAATTTGTAGTGTGAAGAAAACTGCGGAAAAAATTTCTACGATGAGCGCCTTGCTTATCCTTTTTCTTCTAAACCATTGATTAAAGAGGAAAATGTCTGTAAATCTCCTAGAAGAGCGGAAAATTTGGTAGTGACCACTTACGGAAAAATCTAATTAAAAATATTCTTGTTACCAAAATTGCAGGACTTAAAAAGAGCCGCGACAAAATTGTTATCATCAACGAACTTTCTGATCATTCTTCTTTGAAACCGTTAATTTTAGGGGAGAATGTCAAGTGATTTTTTCATTGATCTGGAAATTTTGTTGTAGTTACTTTCAAGAAAAAAAGGAAGTATGTAAGGTTGTCTATAAAAAAGCGGGTACGACGCAAAATCAAAGGCCGTGGCGCGGCAGCGTTAGATATTGCATGGATATTTGGACATGCAGAGATATTTTCGGATATTTTCATACCCACATCGAAGGATAGAGCTCCATGAAAAACTTTAAAGATCTCACAAAGAAGAAAGACCCTACCTCGTGGACCGGGATCCGCCGATCAGAATCGAATCGCTTCCGACCGCAGCGCTCTTTGGACCCTTAGGAAAGGTCAAATTAATTGAAGGAGGACAATCTCTTAGCGATCGGAGAGACGAACATATTTCGTTAACAATTCGAGGTAAATTTTGCAACGTCGCTTCGCAAATCGAAAAACTGAGGGGTGTTGGTACATTTAGAGACCTAGAGCTTTCATTTGCAAAAATCCGAGGTAAATCGGTCCAATAGTTGCCGAGATTGAAGCAGGATAAACTGTCTGGCGGCAAAGACGAAAGTATTTTGTTACTAATTCGAGGTAAATTTTGCAACGTCGGTTTCGCAAATCAAAAAACCGAGGGGTGTTGGTGCATTTAGAGACCTACAGCTTTCATTTGCGAGAATCCGAGGTAAATCGGTCCAATAGTTACCGAGATTGAAGGAGGATAAACGGTCTGGCGGCAAGGACGAAAGTATTTTGTTACCAATTCGAGGTAAATTTTGCAACGTTGGTTGCGCAAATTGAAAAAACCGAGGGGTGTTGCTACATTTAGAGACTAAGTGCTTAATGTTAAAAAGCCTAAGCTAAAACTGTGCACTCGGAGTCTTCCGACGCGCCTCATTTACATGTTTGTGAGTTTTTCGATTTTCAAAAATGTTAAGCTCTTAGGCCCCCCCCCTCCAATTAGGCAAACTGGAGCTCAAAATTTTTAGTAACCATTTTAGCCACGTTGAAGCCGTTGTTTGGCTGAATTTTTTGACATGTCACACTTATTTAGTAGGGTTAGCTGTGATTTTTCAAAATTTTGGGGCATCAAACCACTTGGGGGCAGTCAATTTTGAAAATCATTTGTAACCATCTTACCTGTGCAACTACGTCCGGTACTTTGAGTCCTTGGACACGCCTCACTTACACGTTTTTAGTGTATTTTCCGAAGGAAATACACTATTGCATTCTCCCATGATGTCGGACCCAGACCTGAGACATTGTGAAGAGCACCGATCACGGGTCGTAGATCACGAAAATATATGCTATTCAAATTCATGTGTATATATATATGTATGTATATATGTATGTATATATGTATGTATGTATGTATGTATGTATGTATGTATTTCCGCCTTTTGAAGATTTTTCGATTTTTGAGTGGTTATATCTTTCTTACGTTGAAAGATATTTTGACCAATTTTTTTGCATTTTGTAGAGACTCATTAGGACTACTATTCTGCGAAAAAAAATTGAAATTTGAGGCAATAGATTTTGAGGGGTGGGGCTCGAAA